TTTTTATTTAAACATATTCAGTTCATTTATTTAGTATGCTGCCATGACATGCTTAGCAATTCTGTGAGTAGTAAACACTATGAGGCATGGCTTTTTTGTGTGTGTTTGTCATTCATGTGATTCTCATTTATGTTGTCTTATTTTGTGTTTGCTTAATGATTCACACAATGAGCTCTTGAGCCTCAGATGTTTATCCAAGGACTTGCTTTGGCATTTGTATTTAAATTAAATTCTCCATAGGTGATTTTTTGTTATTATATTTGTAATATGGATTTTTTTACCTCACACATGGAGGTGATTATAGATTCTTAAGAAATATTTTACCAATATTCTATGTATTTATTTTATTATTATTTTTTATTCTCTCATACATTACATCATCCTGACCATAGGCTCTCCATCCTCCTCCTCATCCCTGTCCCCACCTTCTCTCTCTCCCAGATCCATTCCTCCTTTCTTTCTTTTCTAAAAACAGAGCAGGTCTCCCAGGAATATCAACCAAACAAGACATAACAAGTTACAAAAAGACCAGGCAGAAGCCCTCATGTCAAGGCTGGATGAGGCAACTAGTAGGAGGAAAAGAGTCCCAAGTACAGGCAAAGGTTTCAGAGACTCACACTGTTGGGGGTCCCAAAAGAATATCAAGCTACACAACCATGCACATATGCAGAGGAACTAGCTCAGATCCATGAAACACAACTAGCAAAAAAAGAAAGAAAAAAGAAAACATAAATTTTCTATCTACTTAAGACCAAGCTTAGTCAGACATGTTTGAACCTTTTCCTTTGTGACTTTTTTCCTTTTTATTTACACATAAGAAGCTTCCTTTGGGGCTTGGCACTATGTGCCAGGTTTTATCTTTTGTGTTCCACATAGGAAACTCATTCAATCCAAACTCACAGGCCACCAGGAACCCACAGGCTCCATGTTCTAGTGGTTGTTACCCTAATTTTACTCTTTACTCTTGAAGAGTTTTTACTTAGTTTCTATAAGATCTTCTAGGAAAAAAAATAGATCATTTATATTTCATTAAGAATTCCTACATTTTTTAAATCAAGAGAAATCCTTCTGAATAAAGCATTTTAATACTGCAAAATAGCTGATCTTGATAAATATTTATTAAGGAATGAGCAAAGTGACTTCTAAACTGATGACCAGGGAGAATTCGTTGCCATACAGCTGTTAACCTGCTGTCCAAAGTAGTAGAGTGCAGTTGATAAGAAAATACATGCACTACAAAGAAACTCCCATTTTCTTCATAGAAACAAACCTCAAAACCATCATTCAAATATAGAACTGAAAGGAGACTTTCTGGATAGTGGGAAAGATCTAACTGGACCAAGTAACTTAGACCTGTATTAGTTACTCCCCCAGCCACTTTGTGGTATGTTTTTTCCAGATATCTACTCCATTTCATGAACATTCCAAAGGGTGTCTGTTCTCTTTCAACACTGGAAAAGCAATCATAGTTTTTGTCTTGTAGTGTGCTTTGCAACAAGTTCAGATTGCTTTGAATATACTGTACCGAACGAAGCTGAAGGGTGACAGGCGAGAAATAAATGCAGTATGAATATCCTTATATAATCTCTTGTTGGATGTCATGCAGCATCAATTCTACCATGCTCTGTTGGTGCAAGACACCCCAGACCATGTATACCATGAATAGAGCCAAGATCTCATCACTTCACTGAAAAAATGTTAGTTCCGTTACACCAAAAACAAGTGGGTGCAAGCTATGTGTGTGTGTTGGTATGGCCATCTTTAGAAAATACAATCTGCCACATGCATATACATTCCATAGTTGTTATAAACACAGTATTATATTAGAAAACATCCTGCATAATGCTTGGAACTCTGTAATTGCTCCAAATGCATTAATTATCTTTTCTATAGCTTTCCTCCCTTTATGTAAGAAAAATACAACAGGATTTTATTTTAAGAGATATATAATGGATGAGAAATAAAAAACAGTGTTATTTTTCTTGCATGTTCTACTATAATGAGTTGCCAGGCCAGCAAATGCCCATTTTTCAAATGAGAGAATTATGGCACAAGATGTTTAGAAACTTTATGCTTAAACTAATTTGGTAAGATGATTTTTTTTGTTCTCTATTTGTTCTTTAAACATTTAGTTTAAGCTAACGTATATCTATAACTTGATGAGTGTTTTGCTAACTAGATGCAGTTAAGCAGTAGTCATGTCAGAAATAGAACACGGCCAGCAGCCCATATTTTATATCTCTTTCCAGTCACCAGTCTCCAGCTTCCCAGCAAGAGGCAGCAGCTTGACTTCTAAGATCACTGATTAATATTGTTTTACAACCTGTATGCATATTTGTTAGTTTTATTCCTCCTGTTACCAAATATTTGGTAGAAATGACTTAATAGAGATAAGATACATTTTATCTTACATTTTTTTCTGGGCCAGTTATTTGGCAGGAAATCTCAGAGGTGGGATGTGTGGAGGAAGAAGTCAATCACCTCATGGTAGAAGGAATCATAGAGCAAGGAAGGGTCTAGTGACCAGGTGTGATCTTCAGTGTCACAGATCTAATGACCTACTTCTTCCTGCTATATTTCCTAAAGGTTCTACAACCTCCTCAAATGCCACAACCACTTAGGAACCAAGAATCCAGTGCTTGTGCCCAGGAAGGCATTTCATGCTTAAAGCACAATTCCATAGCATCACAGGCAGGTGCCATTTTGTGCTTGTTTTCTTTTGTTTCATGATAACCTGATAATACAAACTTTCATGGCTAAATGGAATCTTATTTTGCTAAAATCCCTGTATTAATTGCCCGTTCTAGAGTTGGTTTACGTGTAGCTTTCAGCTTTTGACTGACTTGTATCATCCTGCTATGAACATAATTTAGCATGAGTTGTGGTCAACCCTTCGTACTTACTGAGCATGTACCTAGCAGTAGAAAGTGCTCTTTTTGGAGTTATACACTGTCGACCAATTTATCATACTGTTCTTGGTTCCACTGTAGTTTCTCTACACTTAGTTTTCTTTTCTAATCTATTTTAGGTAGGTAGCTTGAGTTTCTAGGTTCCTGCTTAAAGCTCCTGGCTTCAGTAAATCAGAAGCAGCTTGAAGTTTAAGCCCTTCCTGTGTTTGAAGGCAAAGTGATAATGTACAGGAAGGGTAACTTTAGTTAAGGAGGACTTTGAAGGATAAAGAAGGCAACAGACAGAGGGTTGACAAAAAGCAGACAAAAGTCATGCGATCTGTAAGACCACAGGGCCAGAGGGCTTGAATACTTGCTTATGCTCTTTTTAGTAGTGCAAACATAGAATCTGTGATCTACACTGGGGTATATTTAAGAGTGAAAGGACATGTTATTAATAATTATACAAGGGGAATGTGTGTCTTTTAGGGCCACCTCAGGAAAAGTGGGATTATTTTAGGTAGCTTTAGGGGAAACTTACAAATGTGGATGCTTGAGAATGTGAAAGGCAGCTTTATTGTCTAAATAAGACCAGATGGTGAGTGGTGGCACAAGCCTTTAATCCAGCACCCAGGAGGCAGAGGCAGGAGGACCTCTGTGAGTTTGAGGCTAGCTTGATCTACTGAGCAAGTTTTAGGACAGGCTCCAAAGTTACAGAGAAATGCTGCCTCTCCTTTCCTCCCCCCAAAAGAAAAATATAGTAGGGTAAAACTCTGAAGTGCCTCCTATCCCACGGAGATTTCAATGCTCCCGTCATGTGTGCTGTGGTATTTTATCTGATATATGATCGAGGCTTGTTTGTGCTTTTTTTGTGGCATAAGTGGCATATGTGGAGGTGTCTCATAGTTCTAAGAAAGTCATTGACCTAGGAACATTTTATGTGACTTGTTCTCTTTGTTTTCCTCTCAAAGTTCCCAGAAGAAATTGGAAATGGTAGAAAATAAGTTTGGTGTCAATTTTAGGCTCCAAGAATGAAAGAGAGGAAAATGAGCTCCCAAACCTAGCAAAGAATAATCTAACATCCCTGGAGTTCAGGGGAAGTATGGGTAGAACTTTAGTTCCCCAAGATGATACATAAATATCCAACCCAGCTTGTAAACAAAGGCAGTAGCTTCATCCCCATAGAGGCCGCATTTAGAGAAATTCCCAGGAGAAATTTGTCTAATCAGGTTCCCAAGATCACTAAACTGTGCAACTTCCTGCAATAAGCCAGTTTTTAGTTCTTTTAAAAAGGGATGTTTGTGTTCTTGAAGTTGATTGCGAGCAACTTGGACAATCCAGTTGAACAGTGGTCCATTCCTTGAGCACTGCAGAGACCTTGGGTCAGATAAAGCTCCGTTTCTAAGCATCAGGAGAATAAGAAGAGTGAGTATCCATTGCTGTCAGATTCTGGATAATGGATAAAGCTATCACATGAAGCCTTGTACTGAGAAGAACCAAGGAGAAGGAAAGGAAAGTTCTGAATTCTGTCTTTCCTGATGGTTTTGTGCTAAACATATACACAAGGGTTCTAGAAAGCATTGACCACTCCGCAGCCCTCAGCACTGACTCTGAGGTAAGTAAAGGAGTTGAAAGGCAGTATATACAGAGACAGTAGGGAAGACCATGGGCTTGGTTTTCTCTGTAGGCAGGAACTTTGTATGTGATTAAGAGGGAGAGTTGTGCAGAGCATAGTTTCTGCAGGTCTACATTTAATAAAGCCTAAGGCAGTGGACTGGATTGTATTCTTGGATCTTCAGTCATCGTTTGGAGAGGTCATGGGTAATCAACTGAAACCATCAGCTTTTTCATGTATCAAGCAAGATCAGAATCCTTGTTGCCCATGAAAACAGAAAGGTTGAATTTTTAATCAGCCCAGGGGAAATGAGATACTTTCAGTCATTCTATTAATGGCTTAAGATGAAGAGAAGTGTAGATGAGGGAGGAGAGGCCAAAGAAAAGAGGGCACGCATATACATTGACTTGTCTTCTAGAGCCTCCGTCCATTGTGCGTGCTCATGTCTGTCACCTTCTGTGTGTTTTACTCCACTTCCCCAGGCATCTTGTCAGAAGAGAATGACCCTGAGAAACAGCTCTGTGACTGAGTTTATCCTTGTGGGATTTTCAGACCAACCAGCTCTCCAGCTACTCTTCTTCTTCTTCTTCTTCTTAGTCATCTATGTGCTCACTGTGGTAGGCAATTTGGGCTTGATCACCTTAATTGGGATGAATTCTAGCCTTCATACCCCAATGTACTTCTTTCTCTTCAACTTGTCCTTAATAGATTTCTGTTATTCCTGTGTGTTTACCCCCAAAATGTTGAATGATTTTGTCTCAGAAAATACCATCTCCTATGTGGGGTGCATGAGTCAACTGTTTTTCTTCTGCTTCTTTGTCAATTCGGAGTGCTATGTGTTGGTGTCAATGGCCTATGATCGCTATGTGGCCATCTGTAACCCTCTGCTGTACACAGTTATCATGTCTCCGAAGGTTTGTACTCTGCTGATGCTTGGTTCATATGTGATAGGGTTTGGTGGGGCCATGGCCCACACTGGAAGCATGCTGAGACTTACTTTCTGTGAATCCAACACAATCCACCACTATCTCTGTGAAGTTCTCCCCCTCCTACAGCTCTCCTGCACCAGTACCTATGCCAATGAGCTTGTATTTTTTATTGTTGTTGGCGTGGTCATCACAGTATCCAGTATCAGCATCTTTATCTCTTATGCTTTGATTCTCTCCAACATTCTTAGGATTCCTTCTGCTGAGGGCAGATCAAAAGCCTTTGGCACATGTGGTTCCCATGTAGTTGCTGTTGCTCTGTTTTTTGGGTCCGGGGCATTCACCTATTTAACAAACTCTTTCCCCGGTTCAATGGAAGAGGGAAGGTTTGCTTCAGTATTTTATACCAACCTGGTCCCCATGCTTAACCCACTGATCTACAGTTTGAGGAATAAAGATGTTAAACTTGCCCTAGATAAAACCTTGAAGAGAGTGCTCTTCTGATGGGTCTGGTGGTATCATTGGTAATTAAATACTAGTAAGCATACTCAAATATTATTTTCCACAAGCAAAGCTTTCCTTCTACTTTAAAAAAATTGATATGTTTTTGAGGATTATACCATTTGGTGTCTCTTTGCCATAACCTTGCATCTACTATATGATACTGTTTATTGGATACAACACTAAACCCAAGAGAGAATTATCCTGATGTACTTTTCATTTTTCTTTGATTTGTCCAGGAAGAATATTTCTAGCTGGAAAAAATGGCACAGAGTGGTAGGAGTCCCAAGAACAATTTTATCAAGCTTTGTAACATGTCTTACCAAAGACCCAAGATAGAGTCTTAGTGTCATAGGCAACAATCTTCTACCTCTTGAAGAGGCTACTTGACAAAGAAGGCTGTAAACTTCCCTTTCACATATATGTATGTATACACACACACAAGAAGACCTCACCCAAGAAATTTATATGTCTTGATTTGTAAGGACAGATCAATTCTTAAATATTCATTACAAATTCCTGGTCCTTGGGATGGTAATCATAGTGAGTGGTTTTATAATTGATAAATCTCCTGTGCTCTAGGATTGAGGGCAAGAGGAAGAACACAGAACTTCTATGGATTTGCATGATGATATAACATATTGCCCCCCTGGAGAACATCATGGAGCTTTGGAACTTTTAGAAGAATTATTTTTATTTTTACTTATTGAGTTTTTTGAGGTAGTATCTTTGTAGTCCAACTGGACTTGGACTCATTAGGGAACTTAGGCGACTTTGAACTCTTCATCTACATCAGTCTCCCTTTCTGTCGCATCTGTCTGCCTTCTTGCTAAGACAGAAAGATGGCAAGTTCAAGGTCAGCTTGTACCTGTGTGCATACATTACTATGCCTGGCCCTCCTTTATTTTTCAAGGTGGATTTAGATTTTACCATCTCTGAAAAAGTGTGTTTGGGTTATAACAATTATAGAACCAGGAAGCAGGTGTAATCTTATACTTCCTATCTCTCAGGGATACTGGACTGGATACGCATTTTGAGGGCCATGGACCATTCTGTACCCCTATGTCAAATGTTTGGCTATTCTATATTGAACAGCTCATATTTTGAGAAATATAGCCTCATATTACCTTGGCTATACAGAGGAAGATGAATATGAAGTCATGTTGGCCTGAATTGAGGTGGGGAAGACCAGACTACTTCTTTGGAAAGGCAGGCAATATTTAAGAAGAAAACGGAACTTAGGGTGTTCTTGAGGAAAACCTGTGCAAAGCACCATTTGGTGCTTTTACTTAGGACACTGGGAATGTCATAAATATGAAAGATTACATCTATATTTTTATTTTGGTTCTGTTTTTCCAACTCTTCTAAAAAAACGGGTGAGAGGCTTGATGTGTGCTAATGTGAGGCATAAAACAGTGAAGGGGAGTGAGGCTTCTTCTTGTTACTTCCCTATCGATCCACACACTAGGATGATGAAAAGAAGGCATCCACAGTGTCCCAGGTGGCCAGCAAGATGTCATGGGTGGTAGCTTAGAGCAGCAAGGATACTCATCTGAGATGTGGGTCTGATAGATGAGAGGTAAGACAAACTGTGTTTTCATCGAATATACTAGATGCAAAAGATCACTGAAAAATGGTGAAAATGTAGATACCCAGATTATGTCTAGATTATGATGATGAGACTCAATGTTTACTGAACATGCAAAGCATTGTATATATTTTATATGCCAAGAGGTGACTAATGTGTAGTACCTCATTTATTCGATTTGAACCTATGCTAATCAGTCCTTTTGGCATAGCTAAACTCCACCTTTTATACAGCAATGTGTTTATGCTATTTTGTTTGTTTGTTTGTTTTTTGAGACAGGGTTTCTCTGTGTAGCTTTGTAGACCAGGCTGGCCTTGACACAGAGATCCACCTGCCTTTATATGGTGATGTGTATCTGGGAACATGGGGGAGTATTAGGGAAGAGTCAATAATGAAGGATGGCTAAGCATTGTGAAATGTGTATACAATCCCAGCAGTCTAGAGGCTGATGAGGGAGGATCTAGAGTGGGAGGTTATAATAGGCTACACATTTAGACCTTGTCTAACGGGAAAAAGTAAAGAAAAACAGATTAAAAGTACTATTAACTATTTACCAACCCCTATAATAATGCAGTTCCATGTATAAATATACATGTATAGTTTTCATGAACTTTTTTCTTTTGTACTGATGGTGATCTCTCCAATGGCCAATGACCAGACATGAGAAACCCTCTATTGAGTTGTTAGCCACAGCTGTTCAAGAGACTCCCAAAATACATAGCTATTTCTGTGGCCCTTGATTTTTCCCTAGAAGTAGAAGGTTAAGTGCCTATTGCTAAAGACATCATGCACTTCAGAAACAGGGCCCAGAGACTCCTGAGCTGGTATTGTCCTGAATGCCCCCTCCATCAGTACTAGTTTTCATGGTACTAGAGTGTATCATCAAAGCTTCCAAAGGAGGGAGGCAACCAACAGTCCTACCCAATTATGATGTCCGTGAACTCTACCAATACCAGCATAGCATGATAACCTTAAGAATGCAGTAGTGGCATGCATACCTTGGTGGTAACAGAAACTCTCTAATTGTGCTTATGGCTTGCTCAAACAAGAGAAAAACCATGCCTCACACTGGAAACCTAGTCAACACTCAGTGCTAGTGAAGCCATCGTTACTAGAGGAGACTCAATAACCACTGATTTACTAAACCAGCGTAACCCCTAACAACAATCCATACACATTTGTCCTTATATCCACAGATAAGTGTAGTCTTTGCCCCTCTTCAAGAAAACTTTCCCTTGCAACAGATGGAGGCCACTGCAGAAAGCAACAACCAATAAAAAGGCCTAGTTGTGGAGCTCAGTCCTAATGGATATGTCTAAAAACCACTCCCACGTAAAGCTCAGGGAACATTGCCGAAAAGGAGGCGGAAAGATTGCAAGTGTCAGAGGACCAGGGAGTTTGCTATGATATGGTATATCCTAGAAATAGCAGAAGCTACATGCATAAGTCTCACCAACACTCTTGCCAAAACATGAGCTGAACAAGGATGACACCAGTTAACACATCAAACTGGAAGGAGAAAAGCCCACGAGGCCTCAACACTGAAGACAGAAATATAGGCAACTGAGGAAGAGATGAGCTTCCCCAGGGAAGAGCATACTAGTCAGTGACCACTGCCAAATGGTCAGATCTGAAAACATTAAACTACAGAACAGGCAATATTTAGGAATCTATATGTATGCATACATACATAGGCACACAATAACAATTAGTGAAGAAAGGGTCATGAATTTGAAGGAAAGTGGGGAGGGGCATATGAACGAGTTTGGAGGGAGGAAAGGGAAGGAAGAAATGTTGTAATTAAATAAGAATTTTAAAAAAGTTAATCTGCTTTCATGTGGGTAAAGAAAAAAAAGTCAACCATGATTGTCAGCCATAAGTAGGCACAGGGAAGAAGTGAGGTCCTAAGATCTGAGGAGAAAGAAACATATGAAGTAAATACATTAAATTCAAGAATGACTTTTTCTGCACTTATTCTCTGTTGGCACTGGGGTGAATGGAGTGAGAGTCTAAGTTTCACTTAGTGAAACATTGACTTGGACCTTTTGAAAAGCAGTCCTTCCATCACACAGCATCTGAAATGGCAGAAACCCACAGCAATTTTTCTTGATTGTTACAACAGTCAGTTAAGAGCCATTATTGCTCCTGCAGAAACTTATGATCTTATAAACCCAGAAGGCCTTAGAGTCATCTGTTGACTACAGATCTTATTTGAGAGTTTGGGTTAGTGATGGAGACTTTTTTCTCAACTGTCAAAAGTGGGAACAAACAGGAACTGCTGCTTTACAGTGGCAGTTGATGTCAGATGTGCCAGAGAGACCTCTTCTGATAGGACTCATCATTCCACCAGATGGTGGTCTTTAGCAAGGCCATTTTTTTCTCTTTATAAAGAGAAAGTGAGTTGAGATTCTTCTGGGTTTTATTTTCCCTTTGGTCTACTTTTCTTGGCTATTTGAAGCATCTCTTCAAGTCACGTGGTTTCCGTAACCACCGATATGATGCCGACTTTCTATTGTATAGCTCTGACTCTGACAGTTTAATATGCAGTTACTTTTAAATCAAAATCATAAAAACACTATCAACATGGGTTCAAATGGAGAACTGTCTAACAATCAAGGAGTGACATTTCTGTGAAGTATATGGATGAATGCATTGCTCTTTACGTCTATGAGGCATTTTCACTCATTCTAAACATGAAAAGGCAGAGAAAAGTGAGAGACGTCACATAGTGCGGGGAGAACCCAAGGAGTACTTAGGAGGTTCTTGCGAATAAAGGCTGAGAAGCAGATGGGAAGGTGTCTGTGTCCAACGCAGTGCGATCCTCATTCTCAGAGCAGATCACACTCTCCTGTCACACTTCTCTAAGTGGTGCATTTGGCAAGTGCATCAGCTGCTAGTAGCCAAAAACTTATTGTTGTGGTGTGCGCATGGAAGGGCTCGAGTCGTGCCTAACACAAATGGCACCTGGAAGCAGGCAGTCCTGGACTGATGTGGCAGAGCTGAGTCACCGAGGACTTAATCAATATCTTCCTTCTTTTCTTCTTAGATGCAAGTTCATTATCAAAGATGCATTATGCTTTCCAGATGGCCACTGTGATTTTATGGTTTTGTTCACATTTTAAGCAGAAGGAAGACTCGGGAGTGAACAAGAGAAAGCAGAAGGGTGCTTTACCTTTCCAATAAGTAACTTCTACCGACACTTCGTTAGTCATTTTACTTGCATGGGAGATGGGGGAAAGTTGGCATTCAATTGGAGAACATTATCATTCCAGAAAAATTTATTGCTTTTGCTAACAAATGAGGGTATGGCTACTGTGTGGATACTAGCAGTTATTACTAAAGAATCAGCTTCCATTTGCCTGGAAGGAACAGGTCAGAATTTGGTAACATATTTCTATTTTTGCTTCTGTGGTTC